TGCGCCGCCTGCCTCGCGCCGAAGGGCCTCGGCGGACAGGCGCGCGGTGCCGCCGAGACACGCTCTGAGGGCCATCGGTCCAGGGGAAGCCCACGCCGAGAGACACACTGCTTGCCCCCAGGATGCCTTGGGGTTTCTTGGGATTCGATGGTCCTGCGATGGGAAGCGTGAAGCTCCCACGCCGAAGAGCAGTGGACGTCCTGGGGTCTCAGGGCTGGGTTTCTTGTGGACTGCTCTGGTGGTCGAGCTCCTACTGAGCGGGGATGTGTCTTGCGCTTCCCCAGGCACCAGGGCTGCGTGAACACCATCAGGTGGTCCGATGACGGCTCCACGCTTTGTAGCGTTAAGTCGGGCCTGTCCCTCTACAGGAAGAAAATTCAAAAATTGGTAAAACAGTCTGGGGACGATGTTTTGGTGTTTTTTTTTGTTGTTTCTTTTTCTTTTGGGGGGTGATTTTTGATTTTTTCCCGGAAAGGGCTCGAGCCCAGGGTTCTCTTTTAGTTGGTAAACCTAATCCCCCGGTGCCAACTTGAAGGAGGCCGGCGAATTTTTTCCCTGATAAATAACGAGGTCGAAGGAGGCCGGCGAATTAAAATTTGAGGATGTATCGAGCGAAAACGCTGGTGTTGAAATCCCGATCGATAAATTCACAGGGTGAGGGCCACTTTTTTTTTTTTTTTTTTTTTTTTTTTTTTTTTTTGTTTTTTTTTTTTTTTTTTTTTTGTTTTGTTTTTTTTTTTTTTTTTTTTTTTTTTTTTTTTTTTTTTTTTTTTTTTTTTTTTTTTTTTTTTTTTTTTTTTTTTTTTTTTTTTTTTTTTTTTTTTTTTTTTTTTTTTGTTTTTTTGTTTTTTTTTTTTTCTTTTTTTTTTTTTCGTTGTGTGAGGATTCTCGAGCGAACGGCTTGCTCTCGCACCGCAGAGTTGCCAGGATGTCTCGAGCGAAACGCTTGTTTTGCAGAGCCGACCGCGACGCGGAAAAGCGCCCCGCGCGAAGGAATTTCGATGATGTCTAGACTAATTCCTTTGTTTTTGTACGATTTCCTGGAATTTTGGCAGGATGTCTCGAGCGAAATGCACGACCCCACCCTAGCACGACCATACCCCAGCACGACCACACCCCAGCACGACCAGACCCCAGCACGACCCCACCCAAGCACGACCCCACCCCAGCACGACCATACCCCAGCACGACCACACCCCAGCACGACCCGACCCCAGCACGACCCTACCCCAGCAAGACCACACCCCAGCACGACCACACCCCAGCACGACCTCACCACAGCACGAACCACACCCCAGCACGACCACGCCCCAGCACGACCACGCCCCCAGCACGGGACCACCGCACAAGACGACCACCCCCAGCACGACCACCCCCCACGGCACCACCACCCCCAGCACGACCACCCCCCAGCACGACCAACCCCCAGCACGACCACCCCCCAGCACGACCACACCCCAGCACGACCACTCCCCAGCACGACCACACCGCCTTGGTTGAGTGGTTGCCTGTCGTCGTGGAATGTTTCGTGGGGTGTCTCGTGGAATGTTTCGCGGGGTGTCTCCTGGAATGTTTCGTGAGGTGTCTCGCGGAATGTTTCGTGAGGTGTCTCGTGGGATGTTTCGTGAGGTGTCTCGTGGGATGTTTCGTGAGTAGTCGCCCAGTTGGGTATCGTGAAAACGTGACCATGCTGCACATGTCTTTATCCCTTTCCGGGTTCGTGGGTCCATCATGTTTTGTTTGTCCCCCGGAAAGGGCTCCGGCCCAGGGTTCTCTCATAGTATTGTTACCCCCGGTTTCGACTTGAATGAGGCCGGCTGAATTATTTTGCGATACATGACGAGTTTGAAGGAAGCCGGCGGAATTATTTTTGAGGATGTCTCGAGCGAAACGCTTGTTCCCAGAAGGGGCAGAGGCACAGGGTTTGATGTTCACCCTTGGTTTCGGTTTGAAGGAGACCTGCGGATTTTTTTTTGGCGATAAATGACGAGTTTGAAGGAGGCCGGCGGAATTATTTTTGAGGATGTCTCGAGCGAAACGCTTGATTTGGTGTTATAGTGAAATGCTTGTTTTCACATGCCCAGGTCTTGAGGATGTCTCGAGCGAGACGCTTGGTTTCACGCCTCCAGGTTGCCCAGACAGATGTCTAGCATGATGATTTGTTGAGGATGTCTCGAACCAGAGGCCTGTTTTCACGTGTCCAGATCGCCCAGGCGGATGTCTAGCATGAGGATGTGTCGAGGAAGTCTCGATCGAGACGCTTGTTTGCAGGTGCCCAGGTTGCCCAGGCGGATGTCTAGCATGAGGATGTGCTGAGAACGTCTTGAGCGAAACGCGTGTTTTCACGTGTCCAGGTCGCCCAGGCAAAGCACAGCCCTCGGACTTTACATCAATATCGAACCCTTAGCAGCAGACGGCAGTTGACTTGGCACGTGCGCGAGCCGTCCCGTGGCGAGTCCCCCTGGCACGTCGGCGCGGTGCTATCGTCCACTGGCACGTTCCGTAAGCGCGTCCCTTTGGCAGGTTATGTTCTGGGGCAGCTACTATGTGCTCAGGCAGCTCGAGCTTAAGATCCAGATCTGTTCGGTCAGGACTCGGATGCAAAGAGGACTCGATCCGCAACGCTATATAGAGCACAATCGCGGCATGGCACATCGCAGTTCAGCACGGCCCAGCACAGCACAGCCGTCGGCATGGTACATCAAGATCGATACACTCAGCATTGCATTTGCCCGTCTCCCAATCAGGTGTATCTGAAACGCCGCCATGCCTTACATTGCTATATGCCTTTCCTGGTACGTGGGTCGATCATGTGTTTCAGAATGTGTTGAGGGTGTCTCGAGCGAATCACTTCTTTTGTGTTATAGATTGCCCTCTCCTGGGGACCAGAATTCAGAGGATCTCTCAAGTGACACGCTTGTTTTCGCGTGCCCAGGTCTTGAGGATGTCTCGAGCGAGACGCTTGGTTTCACGCCTCCAGGTTGCCCAGACAGATGTCTAGCATGATGATTTGTTGAGGATGTCTCGAACCAGAGGCCTGTTTTCACGTGTCCAGATCGCCCAGGCGGATGTCTAGCATGAGGATGTGTCGAGGAAGTCTCGATCGAGACGCTTGTTTGCAGGTGTCCAGGTTGCCCAGGCGGATGTCTAGCATGAGGATGTGCTGAGAACGTCTTGAGCGAAACGCGTGTTTTCACGTGTCCAGGTCGCCCAGGCACAGCACAGCCCTCGGCACGGTACATCAATACCGATACCTTTAGCATTGCAGCCTGGCATGTTGCCTGGCACGTTCCGCGGAGCGTCCCGTGGCGAGTCTCCCTGGCACGTCGCGCGGTGCACGTCCATTGGCACGTTCCGTAGCGCGTCCCTTTGGCAGGTCCCGCGGTGCGTCCCCATGGCACGTCCCCTGGCACGTCGCCTGGCGCGTCCCTTGGGACGTTCTGCGGCGCGTCCTCCTGGCATGTCCCTCTGTCGATTAGTTCTGGGGCAGCTACTATGTGCTCAGGCAGCTCGAGCTTAAGATCCAGATCTGTTCGGTCAGGACTCGGATGCAAAGAGGACTCGATCCGCAACGCTATATAGAGCACAATCGCGGCATGGCACATCGCAGTTCAGCACGGCCCAGCACAGCACAGCCGTCGGCACGGTACATCAAGATCGATACACTCAGCATTGCATTTGCCCGTCTCCCAATCAGGTGTATCTGAGACGCCGCCATGCCTTACATTTCTATATTCCTTTCCGGGTTCGTGGGTCGATCATGCTTCGTCCAAAAAACCCCAGTATCCAAGGGCTTAAACAAAACGCCCCTGCCCTGGTTTGCGAGGCGCTGTGCGCTGAAACTCCTGTGGGCTGATAGGGTAAAAGCCCTGCGTGGTGTGTGCGGCGCCCTGGCGCCCTCTAGGCTCTGGGGGTCCCCAGGAGGCTTACAGACCGCGCACCTGTAACCCAGGTAGGGTCGAGGAGGAGGAGGAGGAGGAGGAGGAGGAGGAGGAGGAGGAGGAGGAGCAGGAGGAGGAAGAGGAGGAGGAGTGAGGGTGAGGGTGAGGGTGAGGAGGAGGAGGAGGAGGAGGAGGAGGAGGAGGAGGAGGAGCAGGAGGAGGAGGGGGAGAGGAGGAGGGGGCAGGGGGAAGGAGGAGGAGGAGTGAGGGGCCATCCCTGTACCCGTTGCCCCTCATTCAACCCAGTGTGTGGGAGACACGCCCGACTTAACTGCAGCGGCAGCGACGACCGCAGCGCCGTGCCCCGCGCGCCCCGCGGGCGGCTTCGGGGCCAGGGCGGCGGCGGCAACGTGGCACGGACCTTGGGCCGGGCCGGCGAGGGCAGAGCTGGCTGCGGGTGCAGCGTGGCCCGCCTTAGGGGGCCACATGCGAACCCTACCCCTGTCCCCCACGATTTCTGAGGGGGAGGTTGGGGTTCATTTCATTCGGGAGCTCCCCCCTCAGAAATCGTGGTGGGTAGGGGTGGTTCGCATGTGGCCCCCTACGCCTGGGGTCTGTCTGTCAGATGCTCGTTTTGGGGGACCTTCCTGGGGCCCACCTAACAGATCTGCGCGACCCAAGTTCGACTCCAGTTCGACTCCAGTTCGACTCGCGTTCGACTCGGGCTCGACTCCGGCTTCGACTCGGGGTCGACTCGAATCGACGGACATCCGACGCAGCTTCGGCGCAGGCGTGGAGCGAGTGTCGCCAGGAATTGAGGAGGAGGAGGAGGAGGAGGAGGAGGAGGAGGAGGAGGAGGAGGAGGAGGAGAGAGCAGGAGAAGGAGGAGGAGGAGGAGGGAGGGAGGAGGAAGGAGGGGGGGAGGAGGAGAGGGGAGGAGGAGGAGGAGAGGAGGAGGAGGAGGAGGAGGAGGAGGAGGAGGAGGAGGTGGAGGAGGAGGAGGAGGAAAGCAGGAGGAGGAGGAGGAGGAGAGGAGGAGGAGGGGGAGGGAGGGGGAGGAGGAGAGGGGGAGGGGGAGGAGGGGGAGGAGGAGGAGGAGGAGGAGGGAGGAGGTCCCCAGAGTGAGCAGCCGGTGCCCGGCCGCCTCCGGGGCCCCGCCCGCCTCCCCGCGGGGCACGAGGGGGCGCGGCCGGAGAGTGGGGCTCTGGCGCTTCGGGCCGAGGGAGGTCGGGGCCATGGCGCCCGCGGCCTCGCTGGCCACGGCGCACGGGCACAACATCTTCGACGCCCAGCTTGCCAGGTGCCAGCGAAAGGCGATCCTCCTCCTCCTCCTCCCTCCTCCTCCTCCTCCTCCTCCGCCTCCCCCTCCTCCTCCTCGTATCCCTCCTCCTTCTCTCCTCCTCCTCCTCCTCCTCCTCGTATCCCTCCTCCTCCTCCTCCTCCTCCTCCTCCTCCAGCCCCAGGGCGATCTTCGCTCGTGGGTCTGCTTCTGGTCTTCGGGCCCAGCATGTCTCGTGTCTGCATGTTCTGCACATATGCTCCACTCATCGCGACCGCGCGGAGTTCTGCATGGTGGACGGGTTATCCAAACTTCATGTGCGCAGCATTGTAGAAGCATCCCAGAACATTTCCAGGAACGGCCGGTATTCTGCTCGGGGGTGTTCGACACATTGTGAGGGCTTTGTTTTATCATACGGACGTCAGTTCGTCATGTTTTGCAGTTAATCGCGATCCATAAAACACATGCTGAATTTGTGTGTTCAAGAGTGGGTGACTCGTTCGTAGACTTACGTGGCTTGCTTTGAGCTCGTTGGATCTGTATTCGAGTTTGTCTCTGATGCGTGAAGTGTTCCGAGGATGCGATGAGAGACGCTATGTAGGTGCGCGCTGGTTTTCTGGTGGATCAGACTGCCTAAATGTTTTCCTGGAAAGGGCGCAGGCCCAGGGTTTTTCCCGGAAAGGGCGCGGGCCCAGGGTTCTCTTTTAGTAGGTTAACCCCCCGGCCCCCCTGCGACTTGGGCCGGCGAAATTATTTTGCGATAAATAACGAGGTCGCATAGGGCCGGCGAATTAGATTTTGAGGATGTCTCGAGCGAAACGCTTGTTTTTCAGAATTTGTTGAGGATGTCTCGAGCGAAACGCTTGTTCTGTGTTATACATTGTCCTCTCCTGGGGACCTCAATTCTGAGGATCTCTCAAGTGGATTGCTTGTTTTCACGTGCCTAGGTCTTGAGGATGTCTCGAGCGAGACGCTTGGTTTCACGCCTGCAGGTGGCCCAGACAGATGTCTAGCATGAGGATTTGTCGAGGATGTCTCGAACCAGAGGCTTGTTTTCACGTGCCCAGGACGCCCAGGCGGATGTCAAGCATGAGCATTTGTTGAGGATGTCTCGAGCGAGACGCCTGTTTGCACGTGTCCAGGTTGCCCAGGGACGATGTCTAGCATGAGGATGTGTTGACAACGTCTTGAGCGAAACGCGTGTTTTCACGTGTTCGGGTCGCCCAGGCACGGCACAGCCCTCGGCACGGTACATCAATATCGATACTTTTAGCATTGCAGCCTGGCATGTTGCCTGGCACGTTCCGCGGAGCATCCCGTGGCGAGTCCCCCTGGCACGTCGCGCGGTGCACGTCCATTGGCACGTTCCGTAGCGCATCCCCTTGGCACGTCCCGCGGTGCATGCCCATGGCACGTCCCCTGGCACGTCGCCTGGCGCGTCCCTTGGGACGTTCCGCGGCGCGTCCTCTTGGCATGTTCCCTCTGTCGACTAGTTCTTGGGCAGCTACCATCGGCTCAGGCAGCTCGAGCTCACGATCCAGATCAGTTCGGTGAGGACTCGGGTGCCAGGGAGGACTCCATCCACAACGCTATATAGAGCACAATCGCGGCATGGCACATCGCAGTTCAGCACGGCCCAGCACAGCACAGCCGTCGGCACGGTACATCAAGATCGATACACTCAACTATGCACTTTGGCACGTTCCTTGGCGCGTTCCGTGGCGAGTCCCCTTGGCACGTCGCGCGGCGCGTCCCCTGGCACGTCCCTCGGCACGTCCATTGGCACGTTCCGTAGAGCGTCCCCTTGGCACGTCCCGCGGTGCGTCCCCATGCCCCATGGCACGTCCCCTGGCACGTCGCCTGGCGCGTCCCTTGGGACGTTCCGCGGCGCGTCCTCCTGGCATGTTCCCTCTGTCGATTAGTTCTGGGGCAGCTACCATCTGCTCAGGCAGCTCGAGCTTACGCTCCGGATCAGTTCGGTGAGGACTCGGATGCCAGGGAGGACTCCATCCACAACGCTATATAGAGCACAATCGCGGCATGGCACATCGCAGTTCAGCACGGCCCAGCACAGCACAGCCCTCGGCACAGTACGTCATCCTCGATACATTCAGCATTGCATGTGCCCGTCGCCCAATCAGGTGTCTTTGAAATGTTGCAATGCCTTACATTTCTATATTCCTTTCCGGGTTCGTGGGTCGATCATGTCTTTTAGTAGGTAAACCTGTCCCCAGTGCCTCAATTGAGGTGGGCCGGCGGATTCTTTCCCTGATAAATATCGAGGTCGAGGTGGGCCGGCGGATTGAAATTTGAGGATGTCTCAGGCGAAACGCTTGTGTTTGAAATCCCGATCGATAAATCACAGGGTGCGGGCCACACCCCAGCATTACCCCACCCCAGCACGACCCCACCCCAGCACGACCACACCTCAGCATTACCCCACCCCAGCACGACCCCACCCCAGCAAGACCATCACCCAGCACGACCACATCCCAGCACGACCTCACCACAGCACGACCACACCCCAGCACGACCACGCCCCAGCACGACCACGCCCCAGCACGACCACGCCCCAGCACGACCACCCCCCAGCACGACTACCCCCCCCAGCACGACACACACCCACCCCCCAGCACGACCACCCCCCAGCACGACCACTCCCCAGCACGACCACACCGCCTTGGTTGAGTGGTTGCCTGTCGTCGTGGAATGTTTCGTGGGGTGTCTCGTGGACTGTTTCGCGGGGTGTCTCGTGGAATGTTTCCAGGAAAACGTTGAAAACGGTCGCCCGTGTCTCGAGGAATGTTTCGCGGGGTGTCTCGTGGAAGTGCCCGTCGCCCAATACGGTTTCGTGGAAACGTTTCCATGCATGCGGTTCTATATCCCTTTCCGGGTTCGTGGGTCCATCATGTTTGAAGTTTGCTGGAACTCCTTAGGTATTTCTCAGCATTTCTCCACCATCCTGTGATGTAGGATCCTCGCTTCGAAAAAAGGCAGCACCCCGCGCCACTCGTTCCTCCTTCCTCCTCCTCCCGCTCCTCCCTCCTACCGCGCCTCCCTCTCTCCTCCTCCCTCCTCCTCCCTCCCTCATCCCTCATTCCTCCGTCCTCCTCCCGCGCCATTCGTTCCCCCTTCCTCCTTCCTCCTCCCTCCTCCCACCCCTGCCTCTGCCCCTGCCCTCCGCATGTCCATCCCAGCACGCCCCTCGCACGTTATTCGTGGCCCCACAGGGAGCCCCACCGAGGGCGCCAGTGACCGCGTCCGCATTTTCGGCACCGCGTGTCCATGTCGGAACACGCCCCTCACACGTGTCTCAGGCGATCGCAAGCATGGATCCAGGGGGCGTGGATTAGCGACGGGCCCCGTTTCCATGGGCAATCGCGGATGTCCGCCGCCGAACGAGGCGGCACCGGCCGCATCTCAGGCAGGGCACCTCCCCCGCTCCATGGATTTGGCGACCGCGCGCCAAGTCCATGGATCGCTAGTCCACGGTTGCGCGCCCCCGAGAATCATTGGAGCCTGGTTTCTTCTCTGAGTTCCGTCTTCAGCGTCGACTCGCGTCGATGAGCCTCTGGGAGTCGAGGGCACAGCGCCGATCTAGGCGTCGGCTCGCGTCGATTTAGGCGTCGATGCAGCGTCGACTCAGCGTCGACTCAGCGTCTCGATCAGCGGCGTGTCGTGGCCCGGCAGGGAGCGCCGCCGAAGGCCCCGGTGGCTGCGTGCGAGGGGCGGCACCGCGCCCGGTGCGGCGCACCCCTCACGCGTTCCGTGGCCCCACGGGTGGCCACGCCGAAGAGGGTGCTCACAGCCTCCTCCACCCACACTGCCATATTCACCACCCACCAAACCACCCCAACCCAACCCCAGGCCCTCAATTTGCCCTCCATTTCCAGTGGGGGGGGGGTCAGGGAACGTTGAACAAACACATGGAATCCGTACCCCCCCCAACCCGAAATTCGGGTCAAATTCGGGTCTTCGGGTTGGGTTGGGGTGGTCTGGTAGGTAGTCACATATGGTCGGGCTCTTCTCGGGTATAGCCAGGACCCCAGGTACGGGGACCCGGTTAGTAGGGCCCCGGAGCCCCTGAATTGGACGACTAAACCAGGTCTGCCGTGGCTGGTGTTTTTTCGGGTGACGGCAGTTCAGGTTAGCGGAACGGGGCGGGGGGGCGTCCCCCAGTCCACATCACGAAACCAGGTCCCACTAAACCCAGTTCTGCCAACGCCCGATCTTCGCCAGGGGTAATTTCGGAGCCTTGGCTCACATGCCAACAAGCAGCGCGCCGCCAGGCGCGATGACCAGGAGAGGCCTCTTAAGTAAGTTACTCTCTGCCTTCGTGAGGCCTCCTTTTTCCGGGAAAGGGCTTGGGCCCAGGGTACTCTTTCAGTGGGTGAACCCCCGGTTTTGGCTTGAAGGGGGCCTGCGGAATTATTCATGATGAAAAACAAAGTAAAGTCCAATTCGGCGTGAAAAAAATGCGTTTCGCGTGTGCCCGCTCGAGGAAAATCGACCCCCCATTTCGGATCCTCGATAAATAACGGTGTCCGCGGACCACCGTTTTCCTTCGTAAAAAAGGTGCGGGGCACTTTTACCAAAGTCTGGAGCCTCGACCGCGACGCGGAAAAGCGCTCCGCGCGCAGGAATTCCGAGGATGTCTCGCGCGTGCCGCGTCCCGCGAGCAGGAATTTTGAGGATGTCTCGACTAATTCGTTTGCTTTGCAAGGATTTCTTGGGATTTTGATTGGATGTCTTGAGCGACACTTTTTTTAAATTGTTTAAAAACATGTTGAGGATGTCTCGAGCGAAACGCTGGTTTTGCAACATTTGGGGATGTCTCAAGCGGGGGCTTCGTGGGAGGCCAGAACTCAAACGATGTTTCAGGCGAAATGCTTGTTTTCACGTTCCGCTCGCAGGAGTTCCGAGGATGTCTCGCGCGTGCCGCGTCCCGCGCGCAGGAATTTCGAGGATATCTCGACTAAATCGTTTGTTTTGCCAGGATTTCTTTGGATTTTGGCAGGATGTCTCGAGCGAAAC